TCAAATAATACGATGAAAATAAACCAAAGCATTGCATATGTGGAATTCATGATTAAGAATAAAGTAAGCTATCTTCTTACGGTCTACTTTTCGACATTGCTTAGGGTATAACGACATTCAACTTTAGATGATGTACAATAATTAATCCAAAGGCAAGGGGTTGGCGTTGACATTTAAAAAAAAAATTTGTTTCTTCATTGACTTTTAGGTTCGAATCACTTTAAGGTCACTTATCAATATTTATGACTACTTGGAATATTAGATTTTTAAGTGTTACGTATGCACAAACTTCTGACACCTGATAAATAAATAATAATAATAAGAAACTTGCATTATGGGTAAATGTGGCTTGTGAGAAAACACTGAAAGTTTCAGGGAATTGTAGAAGAGAGATTGGACAAGAAACTGAATTTTGATTCAGTAATTTTTTACAAACACCAAGAAGCTGTATTTTATACTTTGATACAGCTCAGCTCATCAACCCAAGTAAAGCCTGAATTTCAGGCGTAAAATGAGAAACATCAAACAACTGATTTAACACACTGTACAATTATGCGTACTAAATTACAACTAACCCAACATTAAAACTGAAGAAAAATAAAGAAACACCTCTTCAAGTTTTCTCTAGACTCAAGCAGACCAAAAACACTGATGCTACATTTTTGTTCCTAAGCTTAAACTATATATTGAACTGCTACTCTGTAACTCTTTACAAAGCTTACGCAGAAGAACACTGTGCCAATTGAGAGTAGGTCAGACTCACACTGCTCCTGTAAAAAATGTCATTACTCATGATACATCCATTTTTTACTCCTTCAAATACTTCTATCTTCAATGTCTTTACTATTACTTGGTCTAATCTTAATACAATTACTATTTTTCTCTGATATTACAAACCGTTTAAACATATTCTTTTTCTCATATAAAAAAAATAATCATTTTTTTTATTAGAAGTCCTAATAATGATATATAATATGTATTCACCTAATATATTAAAATTAATATCGTTTTATATTATATATATTTATTTGGATTTTTTAATTGCGGAGTTAATCCAATATACCCATGTATGTTCAAAAATTTTAATCTCAGTTGTTGGTGTGCGTATTATCCATACATAAATGAAGTGATAACTGTTGAATAATTTCATACGAAAGGAAAAAAAATTCAGTCTCTCCGTTGTGAAATTATACACGTTTACTTGGCATGCAAACTGCAAGTCCCTGCCGAAGGAAAACTTTGATATATATAATGCTTCAGCTGAAATATAAATTAATGCCTTACGTATAAATGATGAGAGTGAAACGGTCTAGAGAGTATTCGAAATAATATAAAAAAACAATCAATCACACAAAAACGAAATAATAAAAAGAAAAAAATTGTGATTTATTTGTTCACCCCAAAATTGGGTTATATTTTAAAATCAATATTATTTAATATTTTTCCTCTTCTTCGTTAAAGACTGTAACAACCGAGTAATAAGACCCGTGTTATTGTCCCTTAAAATGAACTCCTTATTAAGTAGCTGCAACCCCACAAAGTTGAAGACTAATAGACAAGAAGTAATTACAAACTGACGGAGATCGACTGTGCTTCTTAGGGTTGAACAGATTCCTGAACATGACAATTACGTGCAGAAAACTATGCCCATAACTTCATCCTATAGGAAAATGAATACATACACTTAATATATAAAACACTGAAACTAGACTCGCGTAGACTTCCAAGTTCGTCATTCTGAAGGAGTAAATACATTTTTACTTCAGATCCGCCCCATATTCTCTATGCAACTATTGAAAAAAAAAAAAACAACTCCATTATCCTGAAAATTAATGTGGATCATTGTGTTTTCTGTCTCAAGTATTTGGTCAGATCAAATGGTTCATATATTTCAGAAGTTTTGTGTTGCTAACTGCCGAAGGGTCGCTTCAAAGTTAAACACCATTCTTTCTATCAAGCAAAACAATATCAATTGCCAGCATTCGATATATAATCATATCCTTTACAAGTTCATTTTTCCACTTTCCATGAACGCAACGTTCAACAATATGTAAATGAGTGTAAGAACATCACTGAAAAAATGAGAGCAAAATCCCTGTGAGCTCAATTATTTGACTGAAGCGAAAAAAGATAATGGAAGCAGGTTGATCATATAAGAGAGAGGAAAGATATATTTATATATATAGAAATTACACACCAAACGGAAACGTCATGTAGACGCTGATATAAATGACATAGTAATATATGTTGATATAGTTTCCAAAATTCATTACTACGTGGGGACTCAAGCAAAATATAATACATAAAAATCAGGGAAGAGTATAAGAAGCTGCATGTGATAATTATGGCATGGGCGACAATAATGCTAGATCTTAAACAGTACACATCTCTCTCTAAAGACCACCATGTCCATTACGCCATCTATAATAGGGTAAAGCGCAATGCTCTCCTCACAGTCAAACATCAAATCAGAGATAAAATCTTTAGTTCTCAAGAGCAAATTATGGCTTCATCTAAGATTTGTTCTTTTTCTGCCTTCTCTTGACTCGTTCTTATACTGTCCTCTGAAGTTGGAGTGATCATACAAGTGAGCTCTGCAATACTTAATTAAAGTCCCTAGCTTCATCTTTACTTATATATGTTTCATGCATGAAATAGGACTTGTTGATATTAGTATATGTGTGTATTATATATATAGGTTTCATCAGCAACAGTATCCTTAATGTTTACAAATTGTAGGGAAAGCAATGGCGTAGAAGAGGGCAAGTATGGAGGTACCCAGGAGGAGGAGGTGGTACAATAATGGAGGGCCAGGAGGGTACAAAATGGAGGGCGTGGAGGGTACGGGGGACCCACCAAGAAGGGGAATTGCAACTACGGATGCTGGTGGATACGTTATTCAAATGGGTGCCGTAGGTGCTGCGCACACGCACAAGGGCTCCAGATGCGGAGTTTGAGGACGATGTTAAGAACTAAAATAAGTTTCCACCTTTATCCATACGACTTCTATGTTAATTAGGGACCACTTCTTGTTTATTGATCAGCTTGTTAAATAATGGCGGTACGAGTATGACGTAGATGCTACTCACCAAATGTCACCACTTTAAAAAGCTTCGGCACTGTTTGCGCAATCCCACATTTAAATGTTAATAATGTTTTAGGTGCAACTATCTTTAAATTAGTGAGATTGATCGTAATTATCTATTATATATATATATATGATAATTAGTACAGAATTGGTGGGTAGATTTCAATTGGAAGATAAATAAATTTCATGATTAAATCCAACATATATAATTGTTTAAGGTTGCAATCATAATTTCATAACATTAAAGCAATACTTGATATACAATTTTCAAATTGATATCGAATATTCATTGAACTGGATCCCAAGTATATACGAGTATGTGACTAAGTATTTCTTGAGTAATCTTGGTCCACCATGGCATGCATATTGAGGTTGGGATGAATTCTGTTTTCTCAAGTCATGACAATATTTGTATAATGTTTGCGTGTGTCACGGAATTGGGTGTTGTTCGGAGGGAGGTTGAGGAATGATCTATGGGCAGATCTCATTGTTTTGACAGTTTAACTGTCGTGGGTTTGGAGGTGACTTAGCCAGATTTCAAACTGCAGTTGCAATTTTCTCTTTGACTTTTGGTCAACTCTTTTGATTTTTGACTTTCTAAGCCCATTGGATTTAAATTCAAAGGTTGAAAGGCAAGACAAATTCTAGTGCATAAGACTTACTAACCCTGAACAGTAAAAATGGTTATTAATCAATGACTTGTGATATTTGCATTCGCGGTCAATGGGCCAACTTATTGAAAGAGTCAAGCTAGTCTCACTGTTTCACTAATGATTTCAAAAACTTGTGCCAGACGAAAACAGCAGGCCAACAAAGCAAAATTTGAAAACATATTGCTCTCGAACTCTCTAACTAGAGACTATAAATTATACCAAACCGAACTCTTTTTTTCAACAAGATCAATTAAGTTGAAAGATTTCTTCTACTTTTGATACCTGTTGTAGCTTTCAAGTACCAAGAGAAGTCAGCAAAAGAGTGTAGAAGTGTTAGATGGTGCAACCATTATTAGCTTTCTGGAAGACGAAGATGCATTCAGCGTCTCAGTACGTGACCTTTTCGCCAACCTTGATAAAGATAAGATGGTCTTCTTTCCTATGCAGAAATGATGAAGGAGCTACAGAGTCTGAGGGTGTTTGAGACTCATTTTGGAATCGATGACAAACCAGACCCGATGAGCTTGCTAAGTTGTACAAATCCTTGTTCCGAAATTCGACCACGACTCAAAGGATCTGTGGATTTGGAGGAGTTCAAGGCAGAGACCAAGCAAATGATGCTTGCTATGGCCAATGGATAGGAGTTTTGCCCATACAAATGGCCCTGGAAGAGGATAGCATCCTCAGAAAAGCTGTGGAGGAAGGAGACCACTAAATTTGGTGCTTAAATTGCTTGTTGTTACGCCTGATTCATTCTTCTTTTATTTAACATTGCAATTTCCTTTTTCCTTTTTTGTTTTCTGGTTATATGCCTCTTGAATTCTAGACAATGTAATCAAGTCATGAGTTGAATAAATGAAAAATGTTTTGTTGTTGGTAATCATGGTCGTCCATTTATAATTAAGAAACCAGCTCCCAAGGCAAAGGATAATAGATTTCTCCTAATGCTTTATATGAAAATCGAAGACTTTCGAAGAGCCTCTAGACGGGGAAGAAACAAGATCACCTTAAAGCTTCATCAAACTAGCCTATCCCTCGTATCTGCGAGAGAAGAAGCAATCTAAAAAGTTATTGCAAATTTAAAAAACATTCCAACCCTCCCTATATACCAATCAAATCACTCCCTTTTATAGGCAGATAACATGCGTTGTTTCATACATCTATTTAGTATTTTCAACAGTTTTGATTTATAAAGTTTTCCAGACAATTCTATTAGTATGATAGGATGATTAAAGAGATTCAATTAGCAGCTGTCAAATCTAGACACATGAATTCCATCATATAAGCTCTACGTAAACCATGTATTTCATTGATATGATATTTCTTTCTTCAATTATAAATTCACAGCGACTATATCATCCTTTACAAAAACAAAGACATCTCAGGAGCAGGAATAAAGGAGAGAATGCCTTCCCCAAATAGACCAAACAATGAAACCATAAGCTGCCCAGATTTTAAGTCATCCTTCCAAATCTGCGGTAGGATGGCTGAAATCTTTGAAGCTCGAGTATCACCACTGCCTCTTCTATGTCTGCTGCCTGATCCGCTATCATGAGAAATCTGTGCAGAAGATGATAAGGGGCCCGCATCAGAATCCCCCAAAGAAGAAGCTACTACTGGTTCCTCCTGCATGGGAGATGATGAGGAGCTGGTAGACACTGGACCAGTTGGTCCATCAGTTGCTATTTTCTTGTGGGGTGGCTGCTCTTCCAAGTGCTCCATGGTTGCCTTGCGTTTATCTTGAAGATTGCACAAGGGGAAGCAAGGTTAAATGTTTGTTTTCTCAATTAAACAAATGCAGCAAATGTTTGTAAAATGTGCTTCTAAAATATCTGTGTCCTATTTAAGGATCAAATTTCAGACAAATTATTTATAAGGTTAGTCTCCCTCAATAACACGAACTTACCCATTCATCAGTATATTGATACATCAATAATCCTGATTATCACATAGAGCATATAATCTAAGGCAAACAAACAACTCTCAAACACCCTTGGTCCCTAAGCATGCAAATTAATCCGGAGTTCTGGTAAACCCACAGATGCTATATCAATCAATGTCTTACTCCTAAGCAAACAAATAAGTCAGTATATCTCTTACTTGGCACTGTGGTAACAACTTTTCCATTGGATTTCCAGACACCATGAGCTGGTGGGGATGGCATAGGTGGGAAGATCTTGAGGCGATCATATATGCATTGACCAGCTGCATGCTGGAAAAAGAAAAGTCAAATTATACTCATTAGATAAGCTCCTCAAGATTTATCCTTCTGGGTATAATTGTATAAGCATTCTTACACAAAGCAACTTACCAGCAAGGCCCCATACACTCGCCAGGCCTCATGCCTCTTCACTTCATTCTTTTGCTTCTCAAGTAGCATCTCAGGTTCAAGAAGATGCAAATAAGGCTCAAGATTTGGCAGTAGAAGAAGGCGAACCTACTTGTAAAGAGAGGAAACATCACAAACTGCACCATTGTTTTCCAATTTTACTTTCAGGACACTTTTTTTTTTTTTTTCCAAAAAGCATGAGAAGAGAGAGTACCACGTTGGGTCCCAGGGCTGCTAAACCTTGAATTGCACCATAATGTTGAGTCAATGATCGCTTTGGGTCCAAAAGAGCGTTCAGAAGAGTTTTGGTCAGACGTGTCTGAAGAGTGTTATACACATGCCCAAATCTACAGCAAACATAATACAAAATTTATTACAACATGTACATAAAGCATGGATGACAGAGGAAAACCAATAATATGGTGGAGAAGTTTCACCTTTTGCATATTGCAGCAACCAGTTTTGCTGTGAAGTCTCTAAGTTCCCAGTGGTTATCTGCAAGTCTATTCTGTCAAAGTATATGATATTTTGCTGGAAACCATTTTGCAATTCAGTTTGAATGTTTGGCGTCATATTTGAGTGGGATGTAGGCTGTCTGTCAAGTGCAGGTTTTTGGTTATTTTTTAATGTAATATGTGATAGTTTAGGTAAGGACAACTGGTGATTTAGGCCAGAATATGTCATTGTGATTTGTATTAGTTAGAGTGGTTTAGATTGTATTATATTTGAAAAAAAGTTCTCACTGTAGAGTGGTTGTAACAATGATGAAAACATGGCTTTATATTTCTCTGCTATGAACGAAAACTGTGCAGACTTTGAACTGAATTTTTCTCTCATTTCAACTCTCTCTTTCATGCATGCTAAACTTCTTTCTCTTAGCATATTCAAACTCAAAAACCTTCAATTGGTGTCAGAGCTGATCTTGATCTTTCAAGACCAAAAAACCACCGTAAGTGAAGCTTCCTCATGGCATCGAACCCTGCCCCACTTTCTCCTCCTATCTTCAATGGTGACCAGTATCATGTTTGGGTTGTCAAGATGAAAACCTACTTGAGGGGGCATGGTTTATGGCAATATGTGGAGGAGGAGAAGCAAGTTCCCCAGCTTGGACCAAACCCGATGCTGAACCAGATGAGGATCCATGAAGAAGAGGCAGCCCAGGCTCCAAGAGCACTGTCCTGTATACACTCGGCTGTGACAGACCAAGTCTTCTCCCGAATCATTGTGTGTGAGACCCCTAAACAAGCTTGAGACATCCTCAAGGAGGAGTTTGGAGGGAGTAGCCAGACTTGCAATATGCAAGTCTTAAATTTGAAGGGAGAATTTGAGGTACTCAAGATACAGGAGGCTGAATCTATCAAGGAATATGTGGACAGACTTATGACTGTGGTGAACAGAATTAAGCTGCTTGGGGAAGAGCTGGCCAACCAGAGGATAGTGGAGAAGGTCCTGGTCAGTTTACCTGAAAGGTTTGAGGCAAAAATTTCATCCCTAGAAGACTCTAAAGACCTGTCCCAGATCAGCTTGGCTGAACTGGTTCACTCACTTCAAGCCCAGAAGTAGAGAAGGCTACTAAGGCAAGAAGACTCAACTGAGGCAGCCATGGTTGCAAGTCAGAAAGGAAGAGCATACCAAAAGGAAGACAAGATATATGGTGGTGAGAAGAAGAGAAAAGAGAAGAGCAATAATCAGGGAGAAAAAAGTGGTGGACTGAAATCATTTCCTCCATGTTTGCACGGCAAAAAGAGGAACCATCCAGAAAATAAGTGTTGTTTTAGACCTGGTGTACAATGCAGGTCATGTAAATAGTTCGGTCAAATAGAAAAAGTGTGTAAGAATAGACGGAATCAGCAAGAGCAGCATGCTACAGTGGTGGAGGTCCAGCAGCCAAGTTCAGAAGCTGAGCAGCTTTTCATGGCCTCATGCTCGAACCATAAGATGTGTGATGATGTATGGCTGATTGATAGTGGTTGTACAAACCACATGACCCCAAATCTGTCAAGCTTTGTGAGCATTGACAAGTCTTTTCAATGTAAAGTCAAGATTGGCTATGGAGAATTTGTGGAAGTCAGGGGAAGAGGTGAAGTTGTTGTCCCAACTCCATTAGGTACAAAATACATGTCAAATGTCCTTTATGTGCCTAAAATCAATCAAAGTTTGCTAAGTGTGAGTCAAATGTTAGAAAAGAACTACTATTTGCATTTTCAGAACATGTCATACATTGTAGTTGATAACCTTGGCAATGAGTTGATGAAAGTAAGAATGTTAGGAAAAAGTTTTCCAATTGAATGGAAAAACTCAGTTTGTCTGCCAAACTTGATGAAACTGAAATTTGGCGCAAGAAACTAGGCCATTTTCATTACATAGTTCTTAAGGAAATGAAGAGGAGAGACATTGTTCAAAGCATGCTTGAAATTGAGGAGAAAGAAGGGGTGTGCCAAATCTGTCAAATAGGCAAACTTAGTAAACAGCCTTTTCCAGCAAACCAAGCTTGGAGAGCTGCTGAAAAATTGCAGCTCATACACATGAATGTATGTGGTCTATAAACCGCACCAATACGTCCAAGGGTAAAATAGTCTTTTTCTTTTTATGTGGTAAGTTAACTACCATGCATATGCCTTAGGGGTAAAGTGGTAAAAGAATAATGATATTTTTGTTGGCTTGACAAGATAAAGATGATGAAGGATTAAGAGTAATTAAAAGACAATTGTTAAGGGCAAAAAAGGGAAATAATGTTCTAGGACATTATATGCAAAAGACAAATGTCACATGAATAATTCTTTAGCAAAAACAAAAGAAAAAAAAAAAAAAAAAAAAGATATTAGATGGTATGGGTTGGCCAACATATGCCTTCTACCACTTTTCTTTATCTTCTTCAAGTTTTCTACAATCTTCCATAATTTTCTTCACTACTCCATTAAAATTTCAAGTCTCTTAGTTGCAATCTCTCAAGTGTCTTATATTTCTTCCTTTATTAAGGATATTAAGAGGTAAATTTCAACTCCTTATCTTATATAAATATTGTGTATTTCAAGTTATTGAAGTTTCCTTATAATTTATAGGAAAATGGTCAATTGGAGATAAGGAGGAGGAAATTTGCAAAGGAGTGTGGTTTCTTGACATAAGGTAAGGGAAACCTCCCTTTAATAGGAAATAAGAATTAGGTTTCTAGGTTTAGTATTAGAAAACCTTAATTCTTGTCACACAATAGCAATTGAGCTTGGTTTGATGCTATAATTGATGGATTTATATGTGAATTGTAAAAATATTGAAGTTTGATGACAATCAATGGAAGTAGTTGTGACATGAGTTTTTTTTAACATATTACAAGGGAGGTTATTATTAATCATTTAACATGTTTTCACAGGGGAGAATGGTTAGGAAAGGTCAGAGAGTAAGTGGAGGTAAATAGGTAAGTAAAAGCCCTAAAATAGGCATGTTACCATGGTTGCCCTGTCACAGTCGTGACCTTCTGAGTGATTTTTGGGCATCTTACCAATTGAACTGGGTTGAGACCTAAACATAAAAGTTGTAGTCCTGTCTCTAATCTTTAAAACTATACCAAGATCATATCAATCCGATGTGTATAACTCAAGTTATGCCTTCTTTAATCTGACCTGTGCAGAATGACTATCTCAAAAGTGCTTCTAATGTCTTAATTTATTTTTAGCCTAATAATCTAGGATTGATTCTAAGTATGGAAATAATGTTTAAAGGGTTTTGAAGTATGTTTGAATGAGCGCCACTGGGCGACAATTAATGCTAGATCTTAAACAGTACACCATCTCTCTCTAAATAGACCACCATGTCCATTCGCCATCTATAAATAGGGTAAAGCTGCAATGCTCTCCTCACAGTCAAAACATCAAAATCAGAGATAAAATTCTTAGTTCCAAGAGCAAATTAGGTTCATCTAAGATTTTGCTTCTTCTTTTCTGCCTTCTCTTGCACTGTTCTTATACTGTCCTCTGAAGTTGGAGCTGATCATACAAGTGAGCTCTGCAACTATCTAATTAAAGTCCCTAGCTTATCTTTTCAATTTATATGTTTCATGCATGAAATAGGACATTGTTGTATACATGTATATGTGTGTATATATATAGGTTTTATCAAGCTAACAGTATCCTAATGTTTACAAATTGTAGAAGAAAGCAATGGCGTAGAAGAGGGCAAGTAGGAGGATACCAGAGGAGGAGGAGGAGGAGGAGGTTACAATAATGGAGGGCAGGAGGGTACAATATGGAGGGCGTGAGGGGGACGGGGGGTACCCACCAAGAAGGGGAAATTGCAACTACGGATGCTGCCGTGGATACCGTTATTAAATGGGTGCCGTAGGTGCTGCGCACACGCACAGGAGGCTCCAGATGCGGAGTTTGAGGACGATGTATAAATAAAATAAGTTTCCACCTTTATCCATACGACTTCTATGTTAATTATGGGACCTACTCTTGTGTTATTGACAGCTTGTTTAAATAATGGCGGTACGAGTAGTACTTGGAGCTACTCACCAAATGTCACCAACTTTAATAAAAGCTTCGGCACTGTTTGCGCAATCCCACATTTTAAATGCTAATTAATGTTTTATGGTGCAACTTATCTTTAAATTAGTGAAGATTGATCGTAATTATCATATATATATATGATAATTAGTACAGAATTGGTGGGTAGTTCAATTTGGAAGATAAATAAAATCATGATTAAATCCAACATATATAATTGTTTTAGGTTGCAATCATATTTCATAACATTAAAGAATACTTGATATACAATTTTAAAATATGATATCGAATATTCATTGAAACTGGATCCCCAAGTATTATACGAGTATGTGACAAGTATTTCTTGAGTAATTTTGGTCACCACCAGGCATGCATATGAGGTTGGGATGAATTCTGTTTTCTCAAGTCAGACAATATTTTGTATAATGTTTGCGTGTGTCACGGAATTGGGTGTTGTTCGAGAGGGAGGTTGAGGAATGATCTATGGGCGATCTCATTGTTTTGACAGTTATACAACGTCGGTGGTTGGAGTGACTTAGCAAGATTCAAACTGCAGTTGCAATTTCTTCTTTTGACTTTTGGTCAACTTCTTTGATTTTTGACTTTCAAGCCATTGGATTTAAATTCAAGGTTGAAAGGCAAGACAAATTCTAGTGCATAAAGACTTACAACCATGAACAGTTAAAAATGGTTTATAATCCAATGACTTGTGACTATTTGCATTCGCGTTCAAGGGCCAACTTATTGAAAAGATCAAGCTAGTCCACTGTTTCACTATGATTTCAAAAAACTTGTGCCAGACGAAAACAGCAGGCCAACAAGCAAAATTTTAAACAACATATTGCTCTCGAACTATCTTAACTAGAGAACTATAAATATAACCAAACCGAACTCTTTTTTTCAACAAGATCAAATTAAGTTGAAAGATTTCTTCTACTTTTGATATGGTAGCTTTCAAGTACAAGAGAAGTCAGCAAAATGAGTGTAGAAGTGTTAGATGGTGCAACCATTATTAGCTTTCTGGAAGACGAAGATGCATTCAGCGTCTCAGTACGTGACCTTTTCGCCAACCTTGATAAAGATAAAGATGGTCTTCTTTCTATGCAGAAATGATGAAGGAGCTACAAGTCTGAGGGTGTTTGAGACTCATTTTGGAATCGATGACAAACCAGACCCGGATGAGCTGCTAAGTGTACAAATCCTTGTTCCTGAAATCGACCACGACCCAAATGGATCTGTGGATTTGGAGGAGTTCAAGGCAGAGACCAAGCAAATGATGCTTGCTATGGCAATGGATCGGAGTTTTGCCCATACAAATGGCCCTGGAAGAGGATAGCATCCTCAGAAAAGCTGTGGAGAAGGAGACCACTAAATTGGTGCTTAAATTGCTTGTTGTTACGCCTGATTCATTCTTCTTTTATTTAACATTGCAATTTCTTTTCCTTTTTTGTTTTCTGGTTATATGCCTCTTGAATTCTAGACCATGTAATCAAGTCATGAGTGAATAAATGAAAAATGTTTTGT